CAACATCAGCGAGCTCAACTCCATGATGCTGTCCACGGCCGCGCCCGGGCCCGGCGCGGGCGCCCGCTCTGCTCCTTCTACCTTGATCCCCAAAGAGATCCAGCTGCCCACGACCGTGACGACCTTTCGCCGAGATCCCAGCCTCTGCCCGCCATCGAGGTCACGGCCGGGGCGCAGCCCGTGGCAGCGGCGGCAGCGGCAGCCCCGCCGGCGGGGGGCGCTGCCCTGGAGACCCCGGCACCCGGGCCCGAGGCTGCAGCGGGCAAGCCGGACCTGGAGGAGTTGGTGGCCCTCACCCCGCCGTCCCCCTTCAGAGACTCGGTGGACTCGGGGAGCACAACGCCCAACTCGCCAGTGTCCGAATCGGCCCTGTGTATTCCATCGTCTCCCAAATATGACACACTGATCATCAGAGATTACACTCAGAGCTCCTCGTCATTGTGAGAGTCACTGGAAACCACGCTGGGTTCCCCATGGAGCCAGGCCGCCCCGTGTCCGCACGGTGACCAGTGCAGTCGCCGGGTTTAAGATCAGCGGTGGAAGATGTGGAGTAAAAGCCGCCCTGGAGACGTGAGATTAAATAGTGCTATTTAACATCAACCGACGAAGACACCAACGACAAATCTTTTGGCAGATGCTCTTCTAGTGGCCTTAGAACACATGGGCTTTTAAGAAACACTGCTATTTTTGAGGGCTGGCAGGAGTCTGCTCAAACCGTTACATACCAAGTGCTTTGCTCTAGGGAAGCAATGAGGGTGAAACAGCATCATGGAGGGGGAAAAGCATAGTCGATAAGCAACTGTACAGAGTTTCCGTTTGTTTACTTCAGTTCTTTTCCCAGAAGAGTCTTTGATTCACCAAACATGAATGTACATTTTCTAACAAACTGAAAATCTGGGACCAAAACGTCAACCTATTTCGTTTTGTTGTTTGTTTGTTCCTTTTTCCTTTGCCACCCCCCCCCCCCTTCTTTTAAAGACTTTGAAAAGCAGTTCCTTGAGCCCGGTATTTCCTGAGGCGTAGTGAGTGTGTCCGAAGCATAGCACACAACTGGATAATGAGTGGTGCGCTGATGTATGTAGGGCTTTTAACCAGAGACTTCTTTTCCTCTCCAATTTGTTTGTGAAATCCTCTTCCAAAAGCCTGCATCCGAGATTCCATCTACTTATTTCAATTCACCTCCATTGACCAAGAAAACCAGTGGAAGATTTCTTGACTATTTCACCATGTTGCCAATCAATACTGGAGTAGCAAAAAAATATTTTCTGGAATACTGTTTTGTAATTCCCTTACTGGGGTGCGTTGTGTAGCTGGAAATGCTCTTTATAATAATCATTCTTAAGCTCCAGCTTGGCTATCTCTCTCATGAACTGGGGCCACTCCTCCTTGTGAATGCTGTTCCCTTAGCATTGCCAGCTAAACTATTAGCATATGCATTTGGGCTTCTTCGTTCCTTTCTTTTGAGAACCTGCTGCGGAAAAAGCTCCTCTGTTCTTTTCAAGTCCCACCACTGGAAGAATGGTCCAAAGACCCAATGAAGACGTTGTCACGACTGGAGGCACTGTTGTTGAAAAAAATTAACACAGTCTTAATACACTGGAAATGTTAAACTGTGTCAAGTTGGCTTAGCAGAGATTTAGCCATGCCAGTGAACAGTGATTTTAACTTTTCTTGGCTGCTGCAAACAGGGCAGCTATGAACTATGACAAATGTAGATTTTTTTTCAAAGCAATACAGAATACTAAAACAGAGGAACCTTAATGAAAATAAACCACACAGTCTTTCTTAGCCATTCCAAAAAGAGGCAAAGCAATTATGACTATTTTCCTTTTTAAAGTAATTATTAATATCATTTTGTGCATTTCATACTGTCACTTTTTGAATACTGCAGAAAAGAGATTTAAAGTTATAATAGAAATACACATGCTCTGATAGGCTCATATAGGTAGCATTCACAGCTCAAGACCTGCATCCACTGTCATCTTTCTTCCTCCCATTACAGCTATCCTCAGGTGCCAAATGTTTTTGATTTTTAAATAAGGATAGTAATAAAAGGAGGAAATGTCCTATAAATTTCAAGTTCAGTTGACCCAGCCTTATACTAAAGGTAGCCTTATGAAAAACTTTTTCGGTGAGGCAGAAGTACATTTTTGGCAGAAATATAGGTAAAACCTTTTTTTCTTTTGCTCAATATCCTTATTTTGTATGTATTATTTTTATTTCATATCGACTTAAAAAAAGAACTCAGAAATAGAAATATATTCATTGGCCATATTTTATCATTCTCCACTTTTAAAAGCTATAATAAATATACTGCTGGATTTCCTTTTCCTGGTACCTGTCTTAGTGTTAAATTTTAAATCAAATCTCCCAATATAAAATATTAAAAGCTAGCATTAATTTACTCAAATATAAATTTAAAACTTCAAACCTCCCATGACAGATTTGAAATAGCATCATCAAAGCTCCCTGATTCCAAATATGATAAGGAGACCCTTGAAAGAGAGTGAACCTAGCTAAATTTTAAGGTGTCATTGAAAGTAAATGTCTGCCTCTACTCAAAAAACAAATGTAAATATATTGAAGTATTATTATCCCTGGATCCTCATCTAAAGGGTGGCATTCACCTGAGGATTACTGTCTTGATTTCTTAGACATTGAAACATTTCTAAATATGCTTTACTACCTAAGTGTTAAAATGTCTTTCGTAAAACCCTATGTTGAGTTCCATTTTATTCTCAAGTACAATAAGTTTCACTGTATTGACCAACAGAATACCATTTTTTAAACTTTCTCCATGATCAAATCTTTTCTAAGTTCTTCGTAACATATTTCTTTTAAAAGTACATTAATTTATTAGAAATTAAAAGCAAATAAATTACCATGTAATAATTCCACATGAAATTACAATCAACTCTAAGAAAAATAATTTATCCAGTTAGGGGACAAGATGTATTGTTCTCTGTATTTCTATGCCCTGTGCCACTTCATTCTATACATTGTATATATTAGTAGTAGTAGTGCATTCTTGAGATTTTTTATTTTGGAATGATGCTAACTCTGTCTCTTTGCCAATTCTCATACCAGGTTCCAAGTAATAAATCTACAATACAAAGAGAAATGAATATTCCTTCTAGGGCTAGGATGTGAACTTCACAATTAATTTGGGTACCTATTTTCATTGAATTTCCTTGAAAACAATCTGTTCCTGGTGTCCAGTGATAATTCAGTTGGGACTAAAAGAAAGTACTGCGAAATGCTAAAGTTTAGAAAAGTGACCCTACAGGACAGTTTGGTTCCAGGATGGAAAAAAAAGAAGACCTGGTTTGATCAAGTGATGTGGACTATCTAAGCAGTCTACCCATTCTGTGATTTGGGGAGAGAAGTGGGGGCAGCCTGAGAAAAGCACATCTGGATTGGGAAGAACCATCTGTCTAGATTAGGGGGAAACAGAAAGAAAGGGAGTATGGAAAGGAGAACCAGATAAAATTTGGAAAAAAGCAAACTCCCAAGTGTTGCTAAGCCTTGATAGTAACAGTCTTTCCCAAGCTACTGCTGTTACCAGCAAGTGATCAGGAAGACTAGGAGCTGTTCCTGACTGTAAATGAATTGTACAATGGCTCTGCTGCAGTTCTGTGACTTCCAAACCAGGAATTAAATACTTATTAAGAAAAAAAATAAACATTTTCTATGTTAGTCTCCCAGCAAAAATGTACATGTTTTGGAGACTTCAAAGGTATTATCTGAGTTCACATTTAGCCACAGCTTATTAATAACCCTCAAGCTGTCAGAATCTCTATAGTAACCATTTACAATTTTATACTGTGAAAAAATACAGATCAGTGAAAAGCATAAAGATAAATTAGAATTCACTTTAAAGAGGGTCTGAGGCCTGGGAGATTCTCTACTATCTGTTGAAGAATGAGGCATGTATAAAATAGTTGGCTGAATTTCACTGATCTTCCCAATGTGAACAAATATACTATGTATATTGTGTGTATTTCTAGATTTCAATGGCAGCTGCTGGTGGTGTTGTAATTAGAAATCTATATAGAATATAGATGTTTTAGGGAGATGGTGCCAATCCTAAAAGATTTGTGTGGGCTACAAGTGCTTGTACTTACATTTTTCTGCACTTATAACTGATTTGGTTTAAAAAAAAATTGTGTGCGTGTATCTGTTCTTTTTCTGTTGTTGCAACTTGTACTATTAAAACAATAGAGAATGTTAAATTATTTTGATGTGAATTGCAAATGATTTTTTTTCATAAAATTTAACATTTTTATCAGCATTGTTTCGCTTTGTACTTGTACAAATGTGTTTTATTTTAGCATTTTAAAATACACTTGCCTGTTTCTCAGTTGTCTAAATCATGTTATTGTTGGTGTTTGTGAAGTCAGTTACTTTTTGAAAAATATTAAAAAAGAAACTATTATATGACTTTAAGATTCTTCCCCTTAAATGTTTAGAATGTTGTCTTAATAGTGTTTTCTAAGACCCAAAGAGCCATAATCTAAATCTTAAATTCTGAATGATCCACACAATTGAATTATGGGGTTTTCAAAGTAACCTGGGGACAGTAGATTAAAACAAAACACATTTGTGTATGGAAATATAAGTACAAATTATTTAATTCCACAATGATCTGTATTGATAGAGGTAACATCAGAAAATAATATAGATTTTTTTTGTGTGTGTGTATACAAATATACACACATCCATATAGATATTTCACTTTTAAGTCCATCTATACATGTTTTTCTGTGTGCGTTTATGTTTGTGTGCATATAAGGGCATCTATAATAATAAAAGCCCAATATGCTAATTAGACCGGATGTCCTTCCAGACATCCTTCTGTTTGAAGCCGGGGCTGTGAGGGAAGCCCTAGTCCCGGGTGCCAGAGGGAAGCTGGTGCCAGCAGCCAAGGGACGGAAGGCCTACTCTTGCACGAATTTCGTGCATTGGGCCTCTAGTATCTACATAATTTCCTGGGAAAAATTTACTTGTCAAATCACTTTTTGCTTTGATGAATTCTTAAGCAGATTTATATTCCCTGAATACAAATAAGCTAAATCCTAAAAGCAAAATGTAGGCTAGATATTTAATGCATGGATGAGAAAGACAATGTAGATTTTAAAATATAGCTTCTCTCTGCTTCCCTATATTGTAATATTTATTAACTTCTTATTCTTATAGTATATATGGAAGTTAACACAAAATGTTCGATCTTAAAAAGGAAATCATTTTTTTTTGTGCTTTGTCAGACTTTCTTGGTTTAGTGACTTCTATTCTAAGTAATACAAATGGTCATATGTTTATATAAACTTGAGGTTGAGCCATGGTCAGTTTGGTTCAGTGGATAGAGCATTGGCCTTCGGACTGAAGGGTCCGGGTTGATTCTGGTCAAGAGCACATGACTAGGTTGTGAGCTAGATCCCCAGTAG